AGGTGGGGGTAGTTACCCTAAAACACCTATATTATTCTTGTTATTCTCTAAACATTGCTTGAGTCAAATAGCCCTGCAATACCTTCTATACCTCAATTCGCATGTCATCAGGAAGTGGATTTAGAGAAGTAGCAGAGTGCTTACTTAGCAAAAACAAAGCTCTGTTTTGGCCCCAGAACCAGGAAGAATTAAAAAAAAAAAAAAACAACAACAACAGAAAAAGAAAAGGAAAAACCACCACCACCACCAAAACCAACCAAATCACATGGAATAGGTGTTGTCAGAGGTAAGGCTACAATATTTTAGTATGACCTCTATTTAAATAGTTCTATTTTGTAGGTACGGTAGTGTACTCCTGTATCCCCAGAATTTGAGAAAAAAGGACAGGCAGAACTCTGTGAGGTCACCCTGGTCTACATAGTGAGACCCTGTCTCAAAAAGCAAAGCAAAATAAAAACAATGACGTTTATCCATTTATTGATGTAGGGGTACCTATTAGATTTTTTCCTTATATTTCCTAGTTCAAAGAATAATAGCAATAAACCCAACATAAGACACAATTCACTCAACATCTATTGAAAATGTGTGTGCTAGTATCAGATTTAAAGAGAAAATGTATGCTTGCACATCTATACAACATTCCACCCAAACAGAAAAGAATGTACCTTCTTCTCTGCAGCTCATGGAACTGTCTCAAAAATTGATCACATAATTGGTAACAAAGCAAACATCCATAGATACAAAGAAATTGTAGTAACCACCTGTGTACTATCGGATCACCATGGAATAAAGTTAGAATTCAACAATTTCTACCCCCAGAAAGCCTACAAACTCATGGAAACTGAACAGTAAACTACTGAACTACCCCTGGGTCAAGGAAGAAATAAAGAAAGAAATTAAAGTCTTCCTTGAATTCAATAAAAATAAAGACACAACATACCCAAACCTATGGGACACTAGGAAAGCAGTGCTAAGAGGAAAGTTCATAGCACTAAGTGCCCACATTAAAAAAAAGGGTGGAGGGGAAGAAAACTCACATTAGAGACTTGACAGCACAGCTGAAAGCTCTAGAAAAACAAAAAAAGCAGACACGCCCAAGAGGAGTAGAGGACTGGAAATAATCACACTGAGGGCGGAAATCAACAAAAAAGAAACACAGAAAACAATCCAAAGAATCAATGAAACAAAAAGCTGGTTCTTGGAGAAAATCAACAAGATTGATAAACCCCTATCCAAATTAATCAAACGGCAGAGAGAGAACACGCAAATTAATAAGATCAGAAATGAAAAGGGAACATAACCACAGACACAGAGGAAATTCAGAGAATCATTAGATCTTACTACAAAAGCCTGTATGCCACAAAATTGGAAAATGTAAAAGAAATGGACATTTTTTAAGATAAGTACCATATACCAAAATTAAATCAAGACCAAGTGAACAATTTAAATAGACCTGTAAGTAGCGAAGAATTAGAAGCTGTCATTAAAAACCACCCTACCAAAAAAAGCCCAGGATCAGATGGTTTTAATGCAGAATTCTACCAGAACTTCCAAGAAGACCTAATACCTGTACTCCTTAATGTATTTCACAAAATAGAAACAGAAGAATCATTGCCAAACTCGTTTTATGAAGCTACAGTTACCCTGATACCAAAACCACATAAAGACTCAACGAAGAAAAAGAATTACAGGCCAATCTCACTCATGAACATTGACGCAAAAATTCTCAATAAAATACTGGCAAACCGAATCCAAGAACACATCAAAAAAATTATACATATTATTAAGTAGGCTTCATCCCAGAGATGCAGGGCTGGCTCAACATATGCAAATCTATCAATGTAATCCATCATATAAATAAACTGAAAGAAAAAAAACCATATGATCATTTCATTAGATGCTGAAAAAGCATTTGACAAAATTTAACACCCCTTTATGATAAAGGTCTTGGAGAGATTAGGGATACAAGGTTCTTACCTAAATATAATAAAAGCTATATACAGCAAGCCGACAACTAACATCAAATTAAATGGAGAGAAACTCAAAGCCATCCCACTAAAATCAGGAACAAGACAAGGCTGTCCACTCTCTCTATACCTCTTCAATATAGTGCTTGAAGTTCTAGCAATAGCAATAAGACAACATAAGGAGATCAAGGGGATTCAAACTGGAAAGAAAGAAGTCAAACTTTCGTTATTTGCAAATGATATGATAATGTACATAAGTGACCCCAAAAACTCTACCAAAGAACTCCTACAACTGATAAACACCTTTAGTAATGTGGCAGAATACAAAATCAATTCCAAAAAATCAGTGGCCCTCCTACACACAAAGGATAAAGAAGCAGAGAGGAAAATCAGAGAAGCATCACCTTTCACAATAGCAACAAATAGCATAAAATATCTTGGGGCAACTCTAACCAAGGAAGTGAAAGATCTATTTGACAAGAGCTTTAAGTCTTTGAAGAAAGAAATTGAAGAGGATACCAGAAAATGGAAGGATCTCCCATGGTCTTGGATTGGGAGGATTAACATAGTAAAAATGGCAATTCTACCAAAAGCAATCTATAGATTCAATGCAATCCCCATCAAAATCCCAACAAAATTCTTCACAGACCTTGAGAGAACAATATTCAACTTTATATGGAAAAACAAAAAACCCAGGATAGCCAAAACAATCCTATACAATAAAAATACTTCCGGAGGCATTACCATCCCTGACTTCAAATTCTATTACAGAGCTACAGTAATGAAAACAGCTTGGTATTGGCATAAAAACAGAGATGTTGACCAATGGAATCGAATTGAAAACCCGGATATTAACCCACAAACCTATGAACACCTGATTTTCGACAAAGGAGCTAAAATTATACAATGGAAGAAAGAAAGCATCTTTAACAAATGGTGCTGGCATAACTGGATATCAACCTGTAGAAGAATGAAAATAGATTCATATCTATCACCATGCACAAAACTCAAGTCCAAATGGATTAAAGACCTCAATATAAATCTGACCACACTGAACCTGATAGAAGAGAAAGTGGGAAGTAGTCTGCAACACATGGGCACAGGAGACCACTTCCTACGTATAACCCCAGCAGCACAGACATTAAGGGCAACATTGAATAAATGGGACCTCCTGAAACTGAGAAGCTTCTGTAATGCAAAGGACACTGTCACTAAGACAAAAAGGCAACCTACTGACTGGGAGAAGATCTTCACCAACCCCGCATCAGACAAAGGTCTGATCTCCAAAATATATAAAGAACTCAAGAAACTAGACATTAAAACTCTAATTAACCCAATTAAAATTGGGGTATTGAATTGAACAGAGAATTCTCAATAGAAGAAGTTCAAATGGCCAAAAGACACTTAAGGTCATGCTCAACTTCCTTAGTGATCAGGGAAATGCAAATCAAAACAACTTTGAGATACTATCTTACACCTGTCAGAATGGCTAAAATCAAAAACACCAATGATAGCCTTTGCTGGAGAGGTTGTGGAGTAAGAGGAACACTCATCCATTGTTGGTGGGAATGCAAACTTGTGCAACCACTTTGGAAATCAGTGTGGCGGTTTCTCAGGAAACCAGGAGTCAACCTACCTCAGGTTCCAGCAATTCCACTCTTGGGAATATACCCAAGAGAAGCCCAATCATACTACAAAAGCATTTGTTCAACTATGTTCATAGCAGCACTATTTTGTAATAGCCAGAACCTGGAAACAACCTAGGTGCCCCTCAGTAGAAGAATGAATGAAGAAGGTGCGGCACATATACACTTTAGAGTTCTTCTCAGTGGTAAAAAACAATGACATCTTGAATTTTGCATGCAAATGGATGGAAATAGAAAACACTTTACTGAGTGAGATAACCCAGACCCAAAAAGAGGAATATGGTATGTACTCACTTATAAGTGGATTCTAGCCATAAACAAAGGACATTGAGCCTATAGTTTGTGATCCTACAGAAGCTAAATAAGAAGGTGAACCCAAAGAAAGACATATAGTTATCCTCCTGGCTATTGTAAGTAGACAAGATCGCTGGGCAAAAGTTGGGAGCAGCCGGGCGGTGGTGGCGCACGCCTTTAATCCCAGCACTTGGGAGGCAGAGGCAGGCGGATCTCTGTGAGTTCGAGACCAGCCCGGTCTACAAGAGCTAGTTCCAGGACAGGCTCCAAAACCACAGAGAAACCCTGTCTCAAAAAACTAAAAAAAAAAAAAAAATTGGGAGCAGGGGGTGAGGGTGGGTTGGGGGGAAGGGGAGATGGGGAGAGAGAAGGGAGAAGGGGAGGACTGGGGAGAGTTTGGGGGAATGGGATAATTGAGATGGAGGAAGGGTGTCTTAACTAAGGGAGCCATTTTAGGGTTGGCTAGAGTCTTGGCTCTAGAGGGGTACCCAGGTGTCCAAGGGGATTTCCCCAACTAGGTCTGTGGGCAGCAGATGAGAGGGTGCCTGAACTGGTCTTTTCCCATAGACACACTGATGATTATCTTGCATATCACCATAGAACCTTCATCTGGCAAGGGATGGAGATAGAGACAGAGACCCACATTGGAGCACTGGACTGAGCTCCCAAAGCCCAGACAAAGAGCAGAAAGAGGGAGAACATGAGCAAGGAAGTCAGGACCGCGAGAGGTGCGTCCACCCATGGAGACAGTGGGACTGATCTAATGGGAGCTCATCAAGGCCAGCTGAACTGGGTCTGAACGAGCATGGGATCAAACCAGACTCTCTGAATGTGGCTGACAATGAGGGCGGACTGAGAAGCCAATGATAATGACACTGGATTTTGATTCCACTGCATGTACTGGCTTTTTGGGAGCCTAGTCTGTTTGGATGCTCACCTTCCTAGGATGGAGGGGGGTGGGGCTTGGACTTCCCACAAGGCAGGGCACCCTAACTTCTCTTAGGACTGGAGAGCGAGGGGGAGGTGGAGTGGGGGGAGTGGGAGGGAAATGGGAGGATGGGAGGAGGTGAAAATTTTAAATAAAAAAAAATGTGTGCTTGCTTTGGTAGCACATGTACTAAAATTGGAACAAAACAGAAGATTAGCATGGTCCCTGCACAAATGACATGCAAATTCGTGAAGTGTTCCATATTTAAAAAAAAAAAAAAAGACTTAGAAGAAATTCATCCAGGGAGATGGGTCAGTGGTTAGAGGGCTTGCCATACAGGTGTGAGGACTAGGGAACTCAGATCCCACATGCAAATGGCCCTTCAGTGATTCCAGTGTTAGGGGGTGGGACAAACTGGCTTACTAAACTAGCTTTATCAGTTAGTTCAACTAAGGACCCCTGCCTCAAACAATATGGTAAAAAGCAACCATTTACACCTGTATGAGAGATAGAAAATCTAGTTTCTCTACGGTTTAAAAACTAATAGGTGGTGGTGCACGCTTTTAATCCCAGCACTCAAGGGAGGTGGATCTTTGAGTTCTAGATCAGCCTGGTCTACAGAGTGAGTTCTAGGACAGTCAGGGCTGTTAGAGAAACCCTGTCTTGAAAAAACAAAAACAAACAAATAAAACTAATAGGAATATAGACCTGGAACTAGCTCTTGTAGACCAGGCTGGCCTTGAACTCACAGAGATAATTCTGACATTCTTAAATCTATAAAAGTAAATGTAAAGCCTAAAAGAAAGGAAAATCAATATACAGAACTCACAAAGATGGTTACCTGGTAGTCCGGTTTTGTAAAATAATCCAAAGAGGAAATATGATCAAGAAAGGTGCTGAATTCGGGAGGGAGGTGCTTCAGCATGAGCCGATGGTCATACCTCTCCTTAATGGAACCTACTTGCTCCTGGAAGAGAAAGAGAACAGGAAACAAAGTCAACATCTCCTGAAAGCTATGATTACAAGCACACAGCCAGCAATCTCAAGGGAATGTACCAGGCTGTGGAATAAAAGTGGTTTAAAGTACAAACAAGAATAAGTGCTCTCTAATGCTTACACACAGTGCTTTCGAGTGGGAAGGGAAGACTGTATAATGCAGAGCAGACAGTGATGTGGAATCTCTACCAGGGAACTAAGTTCCTTTAATGGGTTACTTTGCTTTACCAGCATAGCATTTATTTTCCAAACAAAATAATCTGATACTTAAAAACCAAAAGGTAAACTTCACATCAGAGAAATGTTGTTCTTATAAAATGTATTTATTCTCAGCAGACCCAGAAAAAATAATAATATTAATTATCTAATAACAGCCCACAGAGAGGAAAAGACATATTGTGATGCAGTAAAACTGCTTATAGATTTTAAGTTTCATATACAATTCTTTTTTAATTAATTAATTAAATTAATTAATTAATTTATTTTTATGAATACAATGTTCTGTCTGCATGTATGCCTGCCCGCCAGAAGAGGGCACCAGATCTCATTACAGATGGTTGTGATCTACCATGTGGTTGCTGGGAATTGAACTCAGGACTCTGGAAGAGCAGCCAGTGCTCTTAACCTCTGAGCCATCTCTCCTGCCCCGTGAATTTTCTTCTTTAAAAATTTGAAATAGAGTTTACAACTAAACTGATACTCAAATGCAAAAATTATACACTCATGAGAGGGATTATGGATTTTTTTCGTTTTGTTTTTTTTCCACTATTGTTTGTAGTGCTAGGAATTGAGTCCAGGGACTGACAAATGCTCGGGATGCACTGTGCCACTGAATGACGTGCACATCTATTCCACATGATAACTCAGTATACAGAGATCTTATACTAAGTACATTTTCAACAAAAATGATTACTGAGAACTTTTATTTTGTTTTGTTGTTTTTCAAGACTGAGTTTCTTTGTGTAGTCCTGACTGTCCTGGACTGAACTCACTCTGAAGACCAGGCTGGCCTAAAACTCAGAGAGATCCACCTGCTTCTGCCTCCCAAGTGCTGGGATTAAAGTGTGTGTCACCACTGCCCAGCTTGAAGAGAAATTTTTATTCTTTTCCCAACCAAAACAAACATTACAATTCCAGATTACCTTGTCCTTTATTTTTCTCCAAGGCAGCTGGCCAACCACAAACTCTACCAACATGTAGAATAGAGACCAAAGGTCGTCATGTCTTCCCATTTCCTTGAGAAATAAGAAAATTCGGTCATGTGACATTACCAATTCTTCTGAGAGCATTACATTGTTTAAAGTCCGCCCATTAATTTCCCATCATCTGATAAACATCTACATATCAAGTTACATATCAATCCATACGAAGAATATATACACTAAGAAATATTTTGATATAAATAATACACTATTTGGGGATGTAGTTCAACAGTAGAGTAATTCACTGCACATGTGAAAGACCCTGGGTTATGGGCTGGAGTGATGGCTTAGCAGTTAAGAGCACTGGTCCTGAGTTCAATTCCCAGCAACCACATGGTGGCTCACAACCATCTGTAATGAGGTCTGGTGCCCTCTTCTGACCTGCAGGCAGAACACTGTATACATAATAAATAAGTGTTTTTCTTTTTCTTTTTTGAGACAGGGTTTCTCTGTGTAGCTTTGGAACTTGTCCTGGCATTCACTCTGTAGACCAGGTTGGCCTTGAACACAGAGTGCTGGGATTAAAGGCGCTTGCCATCAATGCCCGGCTAAATAAATAAATCTTTAAAAAAAAATGACCCTGAGTTATATTCTCAACACCACAATAAACATCCAACACCAAAAAGCAAAAACAGCACAGGGCTGAGGATACAGCTCAGTTGGTAGAGTAATTGCCTAGCATGCACATGACCCTGGGTCTGACACCCAGTACCGCGTAACACTGCGTGCGGCAGTGCACACCTGTAATCCCAGGACTTGGGAGGGAGAAACTGAGGGACCAGAAGTCAAGGCCATCCTTGCTACTTAGTGAGGGTGAAGCCAGCCTGGGACATAAGAAATCCTATCTAAAAATGAACCAATAAATAAAATAAGCCTCTAAAAGCCACAAATGTTGAAAATACAAATAACAATTTACTAACTAATAAAGGCTTTAAGAAGTAAGAGATAGTCAGGCGTGGTGGCACATGCCTTTAATCCCAGCACTCGGGAGGCAGAGGCAGGCGGATCTCTGGGAGTTCGAGGCCAGCCTGGTCTACAAGAGCTAGTTCTAGGACAGGCACCAAAGCTACAGAGAAACCCTGTCTTGAAAAAACAAAACAAAACAAAAAAAGAAGTAAGGATAATTAATAAGATTGTAGCTTAATGGTAGTCTGCTTAACTACTAGGGGAAAAAAACCCTAGATTTTAGTGCCAGCACTGAAAAAATTTTTTCATACATACACACTCTGTTTTTTGTTATTTTTTTGTTGGTTTTTATATAGGATATCTCTGTATTACAGCCATGATTATCCTGAAACTCATTCTGGAGGCAGAGAGGCAGGTCAATCTCTGTGAGTTCGAGGCCAGCCTGGTCTATACAGAGAGTTCTAGGTCAGGCTCCAAAGCAACACAGAGAAACCCTGTCTCAAAAAATAAATAAATCAAAATAGAAAAACAAAAAGTAATTAATTCTAAAAGTATTTTTTTCTTTTAGTTAGAAACAAGAAAATTGCCAGGGCGGTGGTGGTGCATGCCTTTAATCCCAGTACTCAGGAGGCAGAGGCAGGTGGATCTCTATGAGGTCGAGGGTAGCCTGCTCCACAAGAGCTAGTTCCAGGACAGGCTCCAAAGCTACAGAAAAACTCTGTCTCGAAAAACTAAACCAATCAATCAATCAAGAAAATTGCTGGCCGGGCGGTGGTGGCGCATGCCTTTAATCCCAGCACTCGGGAGGCAGAGGCAGGCGGATCTCTGTGAGTTCGAGGCCAGCCTGGTCTACATGAGCTAGTTCCAGGACAGGCTCCAAAACCACAGAGAAACCCTGTCTCGAAAAACCAAAAAAAAAAAAAAATTGCTGTTTTAGCTTACGCTATTTATTGCTTTTGTTGCAATGTAGGGTTTTAATCAGGTCTTCTTACGCTAGTCGAGAGCTTTACCACTGAGTTACATCTCCATGTTCCTTGTTACAAAAACAAACAGCTTGATGTATAGAAGTTATTACATATTATAAAAAGTCTCTATATTCTGTCAGATATTGTTTTTTCATTTGTTTGGCGTGTCTATGTGTGTGTACATGTTTGTGTCCTCATTTGCTATGGTTAAACGTGTAGAGAACAGAAGACAACTTGCCAGAGTTAGTTCTCTTCTTCCACTATGTGTGTTCCAAGGACACTCAGATTGTCAGGCTAGCTGGTTAAGTACCTTTACCTGCTGAGCCATTATGCTGGACCCAACCCACAAATAATTTCTTAGAAAAGAATTCAGATATTTTATTTCTTCAAACATCTATATTTAATTTTCAACACTAATACATGATTAAATAGACGCATTCCCAACAGACATACTTAGCTTTTGCCTTTTCTGACAAATACAACTACATTTTTTTCTGTAGCTGCCCATATCTGTCATCCACTATACATCTTACCATAAATTAGTATCATGAATTCCTTTACCATCATTATTACACAAAACAGTAAATTAAAATGACTATTCAGGTAGCTATAAAAGGGACCCTCAGCTCCTAAGCACTTTTCATATCTCTGAACTAAAATATGAAGATATCAGCCTGATGCAAGCTAGGAACACACAGTTATGACAACCCTGAATCAGACAGATACATACCCTGTTCCGATGAGCATTGATTGATGCATAACGAACTGTCCCTCGAAAGCCTGCTACAGCACGAGGCTACAATAAACCACACAATCATAAGAAAATAAATAGTAAAAAATTTAACACAGGAAACACATGAAGCAAATGTAGTGCATTATTATCATAATAAAACACTACTTATAGTAATTTTTATAAAGAGATTATGGAAAACTAGAGAATGAATATTTCTAAACCACAACTTAAAACACTGATGTTTTAATTATCTTGGACTTGTTTTCTTCTATCTGTTATTTCTATGTATTTATTAATTTGTTTCTCTCTCTCTCCATGTGTGTGTGATGTCAGGGTAGGGGATGATGAACCTGACAATGTGCAAGTGGATGTCAGAGGACAAACTTTGGGAATTGATTCTTTTCTTCAACCACATGAGTCCTGAGGACTGAACTCAAGTCATCAAGCTTGGTGACAAGTGCCTTAT